GTGTGTGTGTGTGTGTGTGTGTGTGTGTGTGTGTGTTTGCACACACATGCTGCTGGGAATAGATGCACATGCAAGACAGCACTCCACCAGTGAGATACATGCCTGGCCCCAAACACTGCATCTTGAATCTAGGAGTTTGAGGATGTTGCTCCCACACCCCCCAGCCATACCCAGGTAGTAGTACAGTTGGGCTGATCCCCAGAATCACCCCCCCTCCCCCGCCCCACCCAGCCATTCCCAGCTAATACAGTTGGGCTGCATAAGTGATGTGGTCCTACCTTTCCTATGAGTGCTCTGAACCTGAACATTGCACTTAACTCCCTTGAACATGACTGACCTTGGAAGCTGCACTGGATCACTGCAGACTTAACTACTGGCAAAGGGAAAAGGCTTTCTGCAGTGCTGAGGGCCTCAGGACCTGCTTACCCTTAGCTTGATCCAACTTACTAGCCCTGCACTCAACAAAACCCACGTCCCATCTTGCTTTGCAGCTAGGCAGGGAATGGGATTAGGTCTGAGAATGGATGTAGTCCCCATGTTATCAGCCCCCTACAGACTATACATAGCATGGTCCACATGTGACCTCCCTTGCTTTCTTCTCCCTTTCCATCGGCAAAGAAAGCTAAAAGCAAAGGGCCAGGCACCAGTGGAGCATCCAAATAAATCCTGGTCTCAGAATTATTGTGAAGAGAGAAACTTGGGTGGCTGCTGTCCTAGAAGATCACTCCACCCACGTCCCTAAATGATATTCCCATAAGGAACATGTCAAGGCTGTGGTCCCAGGGCACAGAGAAGGCACACTGAATGGTTCTTTGTCAAATGGGGAGCCTGTGGTCACCATTAGAGGCTAAAGCTTTGGGATCTAGAATCTCTGGCCTTTCCTGAACTAGTAGAGACCAAATTCAACTGGGTACATTGAGACTTCAAGTAAGCCACACTGAGGTAGAAACCCGTTACTGCCAGCTTCCATATTTTTCTTCTGTTTTCCTATCTCGCTCTGGTTTGGAGGAGCTCCTCTGTTTACCAGGTCTCTGTTGGGGGCTGTGGGATGGTTACTCATCCTGGAGAAGGCTCTTTGCCTCCTCAGCTCTGAACCTGAAGCAGCAGAAGAGCTAGGCTTCTCACACAAGTCTCCTCTATTCCCCTCTTCAACATACACCTTTAAAAGAATTTTAGACAGCTTATATTAAATGAAAAAAATCTATTTTCAATAAAAGAAAAATATATAAGGATAAAACATGATTTTGGTAAGGAAGTTTAAAGAAAATAGAATTGTTTTTAGTCGATAAAGGATTTTTGACTGTCAATTACTTTATAAAATTGGCAAATGTGTTTTCCAAAATGGAGAAGGGTGGGCTAGAGGGATTGCTTAACCATTAAGGGCTAGGCTCATAGCTAAATGGAAAAAGAAGAGAATAAAAGTAGACGACGTTTAAAACTGTATTAAAACGTTAGGAATTAAAATTTATTTATTTACTTATTTATTTATTTTTTAGAAAGGATCTTGTGTAGTCCAGGCTGGCTTTAAACTCAGTATGCAACTGAAGATGGCCTTGAATGTCTGATCTTTAGGTTTCTATGTCTCACCATACCTGGTTGATGTGGTTCTGGGGATCAAACTGAGGGTCACAGAGAAAGGCCACCCCTGTGTAAAGGACTCTACAGGGCCGGTTGACTCAAAGAACCTCTGTGATTATGGGAAGCTGGAGTGCTACAGGTCTGCAGACAGATTATCATTAGATATTATCATTCGATTCCTTAATAGCCACTATTGCTGACCTCTCTAGCTGACCTAACACTCTTATGGTATCAGATAAAATCCTTAATGGGATGTACAAACAGACTCCTTAGCATCTACCAAGAGAAAGGCTAACAGCATTTCTAGATAACATCTGAGGGCTTGAACAGGGACTTCCCTACACTGGTGTAATCTGTCTATATGATGTACCCACTGATGTATTTTAAAAACACCTTAGTTTTGACCTCATTTGTTATGTTACTGTAAAAACTCAATAAAACTGTTATTACATTGGACCATGTTACTTGGGGTAACCTAAGTCTGTATTCCCAGCCCATGATAACTCCACAATAAACTATTTCTTATTCCCTTGAGATGAAACCTGTGTTTTTGGTTCAACAGAAACGTGGGTTTGTGATGCTAGGTGAGATCTGAGCTACATCCTCAGCCAGAACTTTTTTCTCTTTTGTGCTATGCCTGGACATGGAAATCAGCAGTGAAAAAAATAAATTCTGAATAATACTTTTAAAAGCCACGGCTGTTTAAAAGATGTGACCTTCAGTGCCCTTGAGATAGGAGATACACTATCACGGACAATTTTTTTTTAATGACAGTGATCTATTGTGTGTATGTGTAGACACACATGTACCATAGCACACATGTGGAGGTCAGATGGCAATTGGCAGAAGTCAGTTCTACCCTTGTATCATGTAGGTCATGAGGATCTTACTGGCCCCATGTACAGAATTTTAAAATATTGACTTGAGTTTTAAAATTCAAACCCAATCTATACTGAATATCAGCCACATATGTCTATGTTAGAAACCTGTGATATCTACAGTGGTCTGTTCAAGCTGAAACTTGACTTTTCACATAACATTTGGCAGGCACTTTACACTGTAAGACAGATGCTAACAATTCCAAGAGAATTCCTTCCCAAATACCGTGGTCACCCTTCAGGGTATAACATCCTGGGGTTGGTGGGAGCCACTGAGACCCCACGCACAGCAGGAGAGCAGCGCCTGTATCCATGGTGAGGCCAGATGATGGGAGAGAGGGGATAAAAAGATGAATGAAACCTACAAGCAACCCAGAAGCACTTAGATTTACAATTATTACATTTCTGCTAGGGTAGAACTGGAGAATAATGAAGCATAGCTCTCATCAGGTTTATTGTAAAATAAGTAATTTAGTAAACACAAAATAAAGCTGCTGAAAGATGGCTTTAAAGGCATTTGTTTTATGGGGCATAGAGGATGATTTTGGCACCCGCACTAAGACTGTTATCTGGAAGCTGTTATGGATGTTAGTGGCCTCTGAGAGGCTGTGCATTAGCAATGAACCCTGCCCCAGAAACTTGAGATGGGGAAGGGTGTCTTTATGTCAGGGATGCCTGTTTGTCCTTTCACACATTGGAGGAGAAGATGCCTCTAGGGCTGCATCTCACAGCTGGGGGGGAGGGGAGCAGCTGTATTCCTGGGCTTGCCAGTGTGGGGTTATTAGTATAGCTGAAGGAGGCTCTTGCTTTGGGGAAGAATGCTCTTCAGAGGGAATCATTTAATAAGTGCAGACTTTAGCAGCCCGGCTCCTTCAGTTTGAAATCCCAAATGCTCCA